GGGGGGGGAAGGGGGGAGGTCTTAAAAATGCATAAAAATTTATCGTCGTCCTGCAGTTTATGGCCAAGATTGAAGCAACCAACGGTTATCACCTGAAAGTTTTATTCTAATAGCACATCCATTTTGTAGTAGGGCTTCGAGCGGTTTACATTTCTTGTTACACAACCTTACTTGTTTTGCTTTGCGGTTCTCTAATTCTTTCTTTGTTCCGTTTTGTTCCCGTGGTTTGAGAAGACTCTGATGTGTGGGAAGCAATGTATGAGTTCGTCGATCCATTAATCTTTGCACTGCCGGCATAAAGATTACGAGAGACACTAAGAATTATCACGCATTATTTAATTATATGTTGGGCATAAACACTATGATGCCGTTTCGTTGGGAAACACAAAAAAATTAAACAATTTTACAGTATACTGAGAGAAAGATGTGGCGATGACATCATTGTTGATGTCGCGTAAGTTTATGTTGTTGTTGAGATTTAGACAAACTGTGATTTAGACGTGCGATCATCACGCTTCTACAAAGTAATAAAGCTATACTTTGGGTTACAGCTATCAGCATCGTTACGGCTAGATTCTTGCGACAAACATTTGAATCAGATTATCTTTTTTAAAACTCATAATCTTTTGTAAAAAGTCACTTACATTGTATTTCCACCGTTTCCCTGAGTGGTATACTACTTTCATTGACGTTCAAAACTTCACAAGTGTAATTTCCATGATCTTCATATTTTATTCCATTGGTTCTTAAAAATAGCGTGCTTGTGACCTCTATAGAAACGTTTGATTTGTTATCAAGTCGTGATAGCGTTGATATCTGGTAAACAAAATTATTGGAAGCTTCTGTTAAATTTTCTCGTAAATGGATTTTTTCCCCATCCTTCTTCCAAATTACGCTCGGTGTTGGATAACTTCTTCCTGTGCATGGGATTGTGATATTTTTCTCATTTACTTCGACTATTTTCAGACCTTGTTCCTTCAGAATTAGATAAGGTCCATCTAGCGAAAGCAAAAAATAAACATCTTAACTGTCGGACTTGCCGGATGTAGGATGAAACTAACTGAAAAACAAGAACAAACGTCGACGTCTGAAGTGATTTACTTCCACCCGAAGAGCCTTTGCTCGAACAGTCAAAGTTTGCCCTCATTTTTTAGGCAACTGCATCCTACATCCAGACACATCAATCGTAATCTTTGCTACACCGAACATTCAAGAAGCATCTTAACTGCAATTATTCTCGGGTTTGGAAGACATTTATTTAATAACTTACCAAAAAATACTTAGAGCGAATCTAAGCACAGCAATTGAAATATAGCATTCTAACCGGTTTTATTGCGCAGCTTGTGGTTTTGAAAGCGCATCAAATAGTACGTCATATATTTCTCACTAGAAGCTACACATGCTTTCAAAAGGCACAAATACATTTGCAGAAAAATCAATCCCATGCTGTCTGGGCTTAAGAATATTTATTCCTCAAACGTTTCAAAATTTGTGATATAAAGATACATTCTACAGTACTTACAAAATGTCAAGAAAGTCACTTCCGCCGTGAAACTGCTGATAGCGATGACATTTTCTGCTGCAATGCTGACCTTATAGGATGTATGTTCTGTCAGATTTCGCAGATGATAAGTCGGATTCTTCACTTCTATTCCAGAAGTTACGTTGATTTTCATCGTGTAGTTTTCATTTGAAACACGAACGACATATCTTTCCAGCCGACTTTCTAAGTAATCATCCGCTGCTTCCCAGGTTATTACAGCTGACTGTGATTTGATGTTGCTGATTGAAGGCTTTCCAGGAACATCAGGCAAAACTAAAATAGATTAACTCAAATATTAAAACAAATATAAGATAAACGACAACATATTCTATAAATTTTTTGCCAATTCGTCTTAACTCAAAGGATGAAAATATTCATCCTTGTAGAACGGCTAAAGAGAGAAACGAATGTTTTTAAAATCTCCAGACTGCTTTGGTAAGTTTAACATCAAGTACAACGAAAGTATCAAAATATGATTCCAGAAGAATCACACTTTCACTAGATACTGCAACTTGCTTTTGCAAAGCTTTCGATCCGTAACTCCATAAGCGGTCCGTATCTTCATCATTTACTTCAGCAGGGCTGGGTAGACAAGTTACGATTTTACTCGGTCGATTTAGTTTGATAGTTTGGTGTATGGTATTTAACTATGAGCCAATGCAGGAAGCGAGGACAATGAACTCATGCAAAGATCACTACAGGCACTACTGCCTGATTCTCGTTTTAAAATACATCTAAACTCGGGCTAAAATTGCATGTGTGCTCGGCTTTAAAAATACAACGCTTAATAATATAAGAAGGGATTCATAGATGGAAATGTCGAGTGTAAATTGTATACATTTATTAGACCTACAGTATAATCATGAAAAATTGCGAAAAATGCAACTATATGCCCTCTGGCAGGAATCAAATCTGCGGCCCATGCAGCGATTCCGGTGCAGCACTCTAACCAACTGACCTGTAGAATGAAAGACTCAGTCCAATTGTCAAGCTCTATAGCCGCTCCTCTAACTGTTTCATGGTTAGGTGTAATTATAAATGTATATTATTATTATGCTTCGAATTTTGTATTTGCATATTTCGTATAGGCGATAACACATCTTTGATATGCATACACTAAACAGTATTTTAAA